CTTTGTATACTCTGGATATTAGGGCTCTATCTGAAGTGTGAGGAGTAAAAATTTGTTCCCATGATGTAGGCTCCCTATTTACCTCTCTTATTGTTTCTCTTGGTGAGAAAAAACTTTTTAGTTTAAGTAAGTCCCATTTGTTGATTCTTGTTATTAACTCTTGTGCTATGGATGTCCTATTAAAATTATTTTAATTGTACATACTTTTGTGCTTGTTTTTGCTTAAAATTTTTGAAACAGTTATATAATTTTTACCCTTTTGTTTTTTCAGATTTATGGACAAGAAGTTATCATGTAAGTTTGTTGCTTTGTCTTGGTTTTTTTTTTAATTATTCAGTTGCTTTTTACATGTATCTTTAGTGTCCAGTGTTTGGAGCCACTTGATAAAAATTTAAGCACACAGAACCTCTAATTCACATCCATTCATTAAGTAGGTTTATCAACCTACTTAATGTTATTAACCAGACAACTTTATTTACCTGATTTCTAATAGCACTTAAGATTTTGGATAATTTAATATAAGCCCTTCCTCACTTTGATAAAATTAACAGAAATTTTCTGTGCTGTAATATTTGAAAATTCAACTCATCAACCTTTTTTTCGTTTTAAAACAAGCTACAGGGCTGGGGTTGTGGCTCAGCGGTAGAGCACTGGCCTAGCTCTTATGGGGCCCTGGGTTTGATCCTTAGCACCACATATAAATAAACAAAATAAAGGTATTCTGTCCACCTAACTAAAAAAAAAAAAAAGTTTTTAAAAACAAGCCACAAAGGATTTAGACAAGGAGCGCTTACTCTGTTTCTTGGTAATATATAGGAAAAATTTATTTGTTAAACCTAAATAAAGGGGATGGGGTTGTGGCTCAAGGGTAGAGCACTGCCTAGCAGTGTGAGACACTAGGTTCGATCCTCAGCACCACATAAAGAAATAAAAATATTTAAAAATAAAATAAAAATCTGACCCATGCCATCAATTGAAGTACATAGGAATTAAGAGCATTAGGCTTTATAGGTAAGCAGTCTTTAGTTTGATTGAATCTCAGCTGTGACAAACTAACCTTAAAGCTTATTAATTTACAACTTCAGTTCCAGTGCCCTTGGATAAAGATATTATTCTGTTGAGGGTTCTTACAAATTAAAATGTAGAACTAAATATAAAATGTTTAGGCCAGTGTTTGACATATAGTAATGATAGTGGGTCAAACATCTCAGCTACCTGTGTCTTATCATACTTGGTTAGTAACGAATGGCTGTTAATGGATGGTTTTATTAAAACTTTTTTCCCTTTTTATAGTGAAATTAAATGGTGGCAGACATGTCCAAGGAATATTGCGGGGATTTGATCCCTTCATGAATCTTGTAATAGATGAATGTGTGGAGATGGCAACTAGTGGACAACAGAACAATATTGGAATGGTGGTAAGTAAAGAGAAGACCTCCATTAGAGATTTCATTTTTGCTTTAGAATATGTATTTTGTTCCCTTACGGTAAATTTTGTAGTTAGAGTATTGACCCCATAAAAGGCAAATATCAGGGAAGGTTAAGACTTCCCATTTCCTTTTTGGTTTATCATACCTGAAAATAAGTTTTCAAGTACACAAAATCTTATAAGGTCCTGTAGCATGAAATAGCTGTTAAAAATCATTTTTTAACTTTATAAGAGAGACCTATAATCAGTTCTTCAATAAAGTAGTAAAGTAATACTTGAATATGTATATGAATCCCCAGGGCACCTTATTAAAATGCAGAGTCTGATTCAATCGGTGTGGGATAGACCTTGAGATTTTATTTGTGTACGTAGTTAACTTTAATTTTCTGATTTATCACACCCAAAATTTAAAAGTAGCAAGGGATAATCATGGCAGCCATTCACATGGGAGAAAAGAAGGGGTGAGTGTGTGTTAGACTCTTTATTTTAGGGTAAACATTCCTATATTCATTAGGCCAGAGTTATATGGCTACCAAAGAAAGTTTTGGTGTTGTGTTTTTGTGAATGTTTTGTTTTTATTGGTGCATTATAATTGTATATAGTGATGGGACTCGTTTCATATGTGTACATGCACACAATATAACAATGTACTTTGGCCAGTATCACTCCCTAGCACTTTCCCCTTTTACTCTGTAGTCCCTTTCCTCTACTGATCTTTTGATTTTCATGAGATTCCCACCTCCACCACCTTTCTTTTCCTTTCTGGCTTCCATATATAAGAGAAAACACACAACCCTTGACTTTCAGAGTTTGGCTTATTTTGCTTAATATAATGGTCTCAGGTTCCATCAACTTCCCTGCAAATTTGACGTGATTTCATTTTTCTTTATGGCTAAGTAAAACTCTATTGTGTATACATACCACATTTTCTTTATCCATTCATCTGTTGATGGAAACCTAGGCTGGTTCCATAATTTGCCTATTGTGAATTATGCTGCTATAAATATGGGTATGTATTTCTATGATGATTTAATTCCTTAGGATAAATACCAAGTAGTAGTGTAGCTAAGTCATATGGTGGTTCCATGCCTAGTCTTTTGAGAAACCTCCATACTGATTTCCATAGTGGTTATACTAATTTACAGTCGAACCACAGATGTAAAAGTGTTCCTTTTTTTCCCATCCTCAATAGCATTTATTATTGTTTATATCCTTGAAGACTGCCATTCTGACTGGTATGAGATGAAATTTTAGTGTAGTTTTGATTTGCATTTCCCTAATTGCTGATGTTAAACATTTTTCATATATTTATTGGCCATTTGTATTTCTTCTTTGAGGAGTATCTGTTTAATTCATTTGCCCATTTATAAATTAAGTTATGTGGGGTTTTGGGGGGTTTGAGTTTTTTATAATCTTTTGTCAGAAGAGTAGCTAGCAAAGATTTTTCTCATTGTGTATATTCTCTCTCCACATTATTGTTTCCTTTGCCATGCAGACGCTTTTTAACTTGACACCATCCCATTTACCAACTCTCAGCATTATGTCCTGAGCTTTAGGTTCCTATTGAGAAATTTGTTGCCTGTGTCTATATGCTAGAATATCAACCCTATCTTGTCATCTAGGGGTTGCATAGTTTTTGGTCTAAAAGCCTAAATTTCTTGTAAAAGGTGATAAAGACCTCCAAAGAACCCAGTGCAATTGCATGTACATGTAATCCCACGGACTCCAAAGACTGAGCAGAAGGATCACAAGCTAGAAGCCAATATCAGCAACTTATCGAGATCCCATCTTAAAAATAAAAGGGCTGGGCACTGTGGTACACATCTGTAATCCCAGGGGGCTCAGTAGGCTAAGGCAGGCGAATCACAAGTTAAAAACCAGCCTCAGCAACTTAGCGAGATCCTGTCTTAAAATAAAAAAGGGCTGGTGATATGGCTCAGTGGTAGAGCATCCCTGGGTTCAATCCCCAGTACCCCAAAACAAAAACGAAATTTGACCTCAAGAAATAGTAAGGGTTAGCCTTGGTGGGTTGGGTTTTTTCCCTCCCACTTCTTCCCTGTTGTGCTAGGGATTGGACCCCGGGCTATATTCCCAGCTCAGTGGATATATAATGTTTGGTTTTTTCCTTAAAGTTTGAGCACTAGAGGGACAAGGATAAACCCAGTTTTGACAAATTCGCCTGTATTTTGTTTTTTTTATTGTGGTCCTGGGGGGTTGAACCCAGAGTCTTGAACATGGCTAGACAAGTGCTCTACCACTGAGCTGCATCTCTGGTGCTTTTGAGTTTGTGGCCTTCCTGCTTCAGCCACCTACTCAGCTGAGATTATAGGCATGTACCACCACTCTTGGCTATGACTTGTTTTTTTTTTTTAGTCATTGCGAGGTTTATGTTAGTACTTATCTCAGATGTGTTTCCATTACTGCATTTTGAAAAGCAAATCAGTAGACTTGACTGAAAAACAGGTTGCACAACACCCCAAATTTTCCAGCAAATTGATCTCTACCTTTCAGACACATACCCCTAGAGCTTGTGTCGAATAAAAATATAGTGGAATTAAAACTACTGAATTTGGGCTGGGGTTGTGACTCAGTGGTAGAGCAATTCCTAGCACATGTGAGGCACTGGGTTCGAACCTCAGCACCACATAAATATAATTAATTAAAATTATGTCCATCTATGCCTAAAAAAAATTTTTTTAAAACATACTGAATTTGCACCCCCATTACCACCCCCAAACTAGGAACTTCCTCCTGCTGAGAGTGAAATCTGAAGGGCTACAATTCTCCCAACCCTGACAGGTGCCAAAGAAACAGGAGAGCTGAGGCCTGCCCACAGTCCCCTTTTGCTGCCCAGTCCTGTCTAGCACAGGCTAACTAAAAATGCATATATGTTCATTGCACAGCTCCTCTCCTACTTATTTTCAAGGATTTAAAAGGCAATATATGAAATCATATAAGTTTCTATCTTCCTTCAAAGATGGCTTTGAATAAAACCTATTTTCTTACCAATTTGACTCCTAATATTTCTGGAGCAGCAATTATTGTAGCCTAGCCTCTTTTCCCCCAGACAGTATTAGAGTCTCTGGGTAACAGAATCATTAACAACCAGGTTCTAATACTCACCAAAAGACTGTCACAGTGGTGCACACTTGTTATGACCTGGTGACTCTGAAGGCTGAGGCAGTAGGATAGCAAGTTGGAAGCTAGCCTGGGCAATTTAATTTAGTAAGACTCTTAAAAAAGGACTGGGGGGATTGGGCTGGTGATGTGGCTCAAGCGGTAGCGCGCTCGCCTGGCATGCGTGCGGCCCGGGTTCCATCCTCAGTACCACATACCAACAAAGATGTTGTGTCCGCCAAGAACTAAAAAATAAATATTAAAAAAATTCTCTCTCTCTCTCTCTCTCTCTCTCTCTCTCTCTCTCTCTCTCCTCTCACTCTCTCTTTAAAAAAAAAAAATTCTTTAAAAAAAAAAAGGACTGGGGGTGTAGCTTGGTGATAGAGCACCCCAGTGCCACAGAAAATAAAAAATACATACTCCCAAGCTTCCTTCTAGCCCTTCTTAAAAGTTAGGAAATCTTCATTCTAATAGAGGATAGATTATATTTTGCATCTCAACAAATGATTCAGAAACATCTTTGGCATCTAAATTTTGATTCTAATTTGAGAAGGGTTTTGTTTTTGTTTTTTGTTTGTTTGTTTCCAGATAATCGTGTGCTCATTAGAATTTTATCATATAAGGAATTGAACTTGGATCATGGGTCTTTCTGTCAATTTTCCCCTGAATCTTGCTGGACTTAATTTTCTTTACAGAGAAATTGGTTAAAAGCAATGTTATCTCAAGTAATTTAAATAATGAGTACCTACTTGCTATGTTAGGCAGTCAGCTCTTTTACTTCAAATATTATGTGACCAAAAAAAGTTTTTTCTCAGTAGACAGTAATTCTTTTAGCTGAGTCATCACTTTCACACAGTGATGATAATACACCAATTATATTTAATAAACAAACATTTTAAAGAAAACGCAAAAATGGGAGTGAACTTTTGACTTCTAAAGTAGGAAGAAGGGAAACAGGTTAAATTTTTTTTTCCTCAGATATTCTTAACAAAGGAGACATATTATCTTGTCCAAGTCAGTGATCCATTGTGTTTTCTGAGGGGAAGGTGTGTGTGTGTGTTTGTGTTTGTGTGAATGTTTGCGCACGCATACTCATGCATATGTGTTTTCATTCTGAGAAGGAGATGGATAATTACCTAATAAGTCGACTGTCCTCTTCTGAAACGCCCTCCTCCCCCAGAGCTCTTGGCAGTATCACCTGTCTTATTTCCTGAAGATAGGATGACTTTGCTCCAGGTCCCCCAAAGAATATAGTAAAAATTCTGTGTATTTTGATGCTGCATGTTTCAGGAGCTCTTGCTAAAATTTTGTATGTATGTTTTTGTGTTTGTGTATGTGTGTGTAAGAATTGTGCTGTAGTAGGATCATCTTATTAGACAACTGCCCTGTGAAGAGGCTGCAAGCCAAAGCAACACTTAACAAAAGGAGGGATATTGATTCTGGATCTGATGTTTCTGGTTAATTGGTAGAATTGAGTCTTGAACATATGGCAGAAGAAGAAGGGCAAAGGTGTTCAACAAGTAGCCTATTCCTAAATACTATGTGATGAGGTTCTCAGATCAGAAAATCTTAGTTTTCTAAAATAACCTCTTTATCACCTTCCACTTCTAGGGTAGAAGTGTCCGACATGGACAAATTTATGAGAAAACTGGGAAGGAAGAAAGCTAGTTGTTTTTCATGTTGTGATCAGTGCAATGATTTTTCATCATCTGTTGGTCAAAGGGGGATAAAAAAGGATGTGCTCATGGTAGAGCAGTTAACCTAGCACGCTTGAGGCCCTGAGTTCTATTCCCAGCACCATTAAAATAGAGCCAGGAATTTTAAAAACTAGGTAAACTTACTGTTTAGCTCTCTACATTTCTCTCCCTAACTTACTAAAAGTCACAGATTCCTTTAGTCCTCTTTACCGATTTTAGGGCATTGTTCTCTTAAATCCGCTCTTTAATTCTTTGACATCTTTCACCATACTAGTTGCTATTAATTCCCAGGCTCTGAGACACTCTCTCACACCTGTTGTGTACCTTCCAGTCTTGTGCAGAGCTCTTTTTTTTTTTTAAGTTGTCAATGGACCTTTGTTTTATTCATTAATATGTAGTGCTGAGAATTGAACCCAGTGCCTCGAACATGGTAGGCAAACACTCTGCCACTGAGCCAGAACCCCAGCCCAAAATGCCTCTATTTTTAATAAACACTTCGATAATCACATTTTTTATCATCCCACTCCTGTCCTTTCATTCTTCAGTTCTACTTCACTGGTCTGTGATCCACAGATCTTCATGATCCATAAGTCCATCAGAGACTTCTTATTTCCAGTCCCTTCCAATTTCCACTTGTTTTTCTATCCCTCTTGAATTTACTTATCACCATTTCATCTATGTTCTCATAAATATCCTGCTTATCATTATTTATAGCATATTTACTAAGTCAGGCACTGTATTCCTAGGGCCCTTTCTAACTTCCTGCCTCTAAGCACCTTCATTCATATTTACATACGTTGTTGCCAGGACTGTTATTGTCTTTCCTCTAATCATTAAGTTTTATTTTAACTGGCAAACTATTGGTTTGTCAGTTAAATGCCCTCCATTTTAAGATTGGCATTTGAGACCTTTTAAGATTGGATACCAAGTATCTTGGTTTCCACCTTCCTTCATGACTTTCCTGTGACATTCAAATTAGATTCTTTCCTTATTCCCTTATACTTTGTCTTCATCCTCATTCTGTTGAGAATTTACCCTGTCGAAGTTCTACCCACTTTCCTAAGTAGGTCCAGCTGATATTGCACAAATTCCCTCCTAAGTTTTTTCACATATGTGTGTACTGACATATATACCCTTCTTTGCCTGTTTTTCCCATTGATTTTTAGATCTGAAGGATAGGACTGTGCATTGTTTGAGTCCTGTAAGTTTAAAAGGTAAATTGAATCAGTGGGGATTTGGCATCTCAAAAAGTAATTATTGGGGCTGGGAATATGGCTCAGGCAGTAGCGCGCTCGTCTGGCATGCATGCGGCCAGGGTTCAATCCTCAGCACCACATACCAACAAAGATGTTGTGTCTGCCGAGAACTAAAAAAAATAAAATAAATATTTTTTAAAAAATTCTCTCTCTCTCTCTCCTCTCTCACTCTCTTTTTTAAAAAAAAAGTAATTATTGGCTGGATGCAGTGGCACACGCCTATTATCTCAGCAGCTCAGGAGGCTGAGACAATAGGATCATGAGTTCAAAACCAACCTCAGCAATGACAAAGTGCTAAGGCAACTCAGTAAGACCCGTTCTCTAAATAAAATACAAAATAAGGCTGGAGATGTGGCTCAGTGGTTGGTTGAGTGCCCTTGAGTTCAATATCTGGTACCCCCTGTACCCCCAAAAGAAAAGGAATTATGTATCTCTTCCAAAGGACTTAGTATACTGTTTCATGTCAGGATTAAAAGATTTATTTGGTCACCCTATGACTTGAAAAAAAGTCTCACAAACTGATATGTAATGTGGAGAATCTATTAATGATTTGGTAGAAATTATCTACTGAATGAAATTTACTTTTCTCTTTCCAGGTAATACGAGGAAACAGTATCATCATGTTAGAAGCCTTAGAACGAGTATAAATAACGGCTGTTCAGCAGAGAAATCTATGTCCTCCCTCCAGAAGCCCTGTTTAACTATGACTTGAAAATTGGGTCATGTACACTTTCATATTAAACTTTTTGTTAAATAAACTTCAATAACAAAAAGCTTTGTCAGATGTTTCGAATGCAGACATAGAATGTTAGCTCCTAACTTTTCTAACGTGAATTTTCATGGTTGAGACTGATTCTAAAAAGTATATTTATACATTAAAATAGGAGAATCTTACTGAGTGTGAAACATTACAAGGATTTTTCTCCATTTTTTAGTGCTGAGAGAAAGAAACAGCCAACCTGAATGCATGAGTGGGGTTGCTATGAAACATGTAAACTGGTAACTTATACTCTGACTTTTCCAAGTGTAGATTATCCCTTATCCAAATGCTTGGGATTAGAAGTGTTTCAGATTTTAGAATATTTGTACAAACAGTAAGTTATGGGATGAGACCCAAAGCTAGTGTTTGCTGCATTTTGACAGCAGCTAGTCGCATGAGGACTGGTATGAGTGCTCAAAAAAAAAGTTGTAGTATTGCAGATAACGATTGCTCATTCTGTACATCTACATTCTAAGTATAGTGCAACAGAAGTAAAACACAGGACATAATAATATAGTGTTTTATTTTTTAAACATAATCATTACGTGGAGAAATTTTGAAGAGTAGAAATAGAATTTCAGAGAAAAGCATTCCAGTGTATTGTGGCTCTTAGAATAGAGAAGAGCAGTGAGAATGCTGTCCACAATATATTCATCTAGTTCATGAAATTTTATTTATGGCTCACAAGCTCAAATGAGAGGTTTATTACAGATGGTTGTATTATAAGCCTAACCTTAAACATTCCAAGAAAATGCTTAAGGCCTATTTTTATGATCTGAAAAAAGCCTGCAAATCAGTTAAAACTATGTATACATGAATACATACGGGAATATGTAAGTTTTTTAACACAATGAAGAGTATAGATATAGTATTTCCTATTTATAGAAACTATAAAACAAAAGAACAGCCAAAGAGATCAAACTAAATCACAGTAAAATGAGTTGACAAGAAGTCCAGTATATTCTTTAGCATTTCTGTTTTCACTGCTGGTAATTTTTGCAGCCATACAAACTAACTTGTAGAACCAGTTCTCCCAAGTGTGGTTCCTAGAACAATAGCATCACCTTAGAACATAAATAAAAGTTTTTGTATCCCACTACAGATCATACTTAATTCAGTTGGAGAACCACTGGAGTAGAGTTGTCTTCGTTCCACCCCTACATCATTTCTCCCAGTCTCTTCCATTAAAAAATAATAATAATCTCCTGGAATAGCAAAACCTGATAGTATTTTTGTTTTAATAAAATTATTCTTTAATGCTGTAGTTACATTAAAACTAGTGGGCCTGGAATAGCAGGCTTTAATAGTAATTTTTCTTCTAGAAAAAACTATTATTTTTAATACTGTAATTATACTGAAACTACCTAATACTCCTGCTAGAACCTGTTTTGGTTTTGAGGAAGCAATTTCAGATGCCCTACTGGAATTTTAAGTCAGTAGGTTTGATATGAAACATTTTAAATAGGTATTCTTACAAGAAAAAATATATCCCATTGTAAAACAAGTGTACAAATGATAAAAGTTAAACCATTTCATTAGTATTTACCAATATTTACAGTAGTCCTCCCATACCTGTGGTTTCATTTTCCAATTTTTAGTTTACCCTTAGTCAACCACGGTCTGAGTGTACTAAATGGAAAATGACAGAAATAAGTTTAAAATAACATTTGTTATATTATTTTTTTATGATTATTGTTAATCTAATGTGCCTAATTTATAAATTAAACTTTATATGTGTATAGATATATAGGAAAAGACTGTCTTTTGCTATGTATACTGTCTACAGTTTCAGGAATCCACTAGGAATATTCCAACATAATTTCCCTCAGATGGGGGAGGGACTATCAAAGCATATAACAATGTTACATTCACTACAAATAGTCTTCATTAAAACCACAAAAGGAGAACATAAATGCCTCTTAACATACTTGATAAGAATAAAATTAGAAAAAATATAACCCTTCAACAAATGATAAACTTAATTCCTGCCTCTATATCAACTATCTTGGCAGTTTTTTTCAGATATCAGTATTCAGAGACATAGTAGGGAAGAAATAATGGTTAAGAGTCAGCATTTTCTCACATCATTTTGCTAAAGTAGCTACTGCCATAATCTGGCACTTAACCTGGTTTCAGTTATTATTAATGCATAAGCTTTATATGGGTTCTTTTCTACCAGTGACTATGACATTGATTCATGATCTCCATATAGCAGATGTAGAACTGATTCTCAAGTTTGGTTGTGTACAGGAAGCACTAAGCCCTACAGTTGATTCTAACAGCCAAAGTTGAGAGCCACTGCCACTGAGATTTTAGCAACCAACTTTTCACCTCACGTGCTACAGTAACTGATGCATTTAACATTCCAAAACTATCTGAACTTGGTTAAGTTTAGTGGCATTCTAAATGTTCCTCTCTAATGCCAGGTGCTCTAGGGTTATAGAAGTTGCCTCTGCTGTTAGGCTGTCAGTGTTTCTTACTATCAAGATTAATTCTGAAGTTCTCATTGAGATTCCTTGCAATGGATCTGCTCTGATGTTTTGTGTTTCTTACTACTTTTAAGGCACTTTTTAAAAACCCTTTATAGACATTTTAATTCCCCCATCTGTGCTTCTCTAGTTGCACACTAGAAACTTTAAACTGACAAGGTGGTATCCTTAGTCCTCCTTTAAATGACAAGTTGGTATCCTCAGTCCTTTAACTCCTAATCTCTAGTTGTGAGGGCCTATCAGTAATTTTTAAAAGCTCTTCAAGTGAGAACATTAGAACGAAGGTTGTGGTTCAGTGACAGAGTGTTTGCCTGGCATGCCATTTTTTTAAATTTTAAGATTATACTCTCTATGACTTCTGAATTTTACCCCTAATAAAATCAAAACATAAACAATCAAAAGTCAAGGTTTTAGGCATTTACATCAAAAAGGCATATAAATTACTAAGCCAACTTCCAGAGTGGTTTTATCTAACTAAAGATTTTATTCAGCTGTGAAGCTCAAATAAACTAGTACCCAACTAAGATGTCTTTAAGTTCTTCCTCAAGTACTCATCTTAAAACACTTTTGATCAAACTCCAGGGTCCCACCCCTGAACCTACTGAATTAGAATCTCAAAGAGAGAACCCTTGTTTAACGAACTCCAGATGATTCTTATACTCAGGAGCTTGGGCATCACTGCCAATGGATATTGCAAGAAATTTTGGAGATGGATAAGGGCAAGAGTTATCCAAACCTTGTAATTTTCTTGGAACACAACAGGATTACTTTGTAAAATGATGAAAATGGCAAAATATCTGTTTCAAAATCATTTCTGCTCAGATTTTTCTTTTTTCTTTTTTTTTTTTTTTTTTTGCCAGTGGTACTCATGGGGAACCAGGAGAGGAAAAACGAGAATGTTATTTCATAGCTCCGTTTTAAGTTTCTCATAGAGGCCATCTTGGTCAATCATGTCTGTGTTCCCATTCCAGCGGTGATAGGCAAGGAGTGCAGCATTATGGGCTGCGATGGCACTCATTTCCATGGCACTTGCTGCAAACTCTATACCATTGAGGTAATACAGCCGATCATGGAGTATGATGGAGGGACATTTCTCCGGGGGCTTATAGTGAGGATATGCAAGCCAAGACTTCTTCACAGCATAATCATAGGACAAAAAGAGCTTAAAAATTTGCTGTTTAGTAAGAATTTCTGGGGAAAAAGTCTTCCAAACATATGTTCCATCTGTTGATGGTTGAGGACTGTCCTTTTCTCTTACAGAGGACACAATCCCAACATTGTTAATAAACAGGTCTGAACTATCAGTGGTCAAAACTGTAGACAGGCCAAACTGATTTTTGGCTCTAGAGCTAAATACAGTTGAATTCAATTCTCCCTTAACCAAAGTTGTCACTATATGTTGGTAATACTGATGAAATTCCTCAATTGGAGGATCAAAGTTGAGGAAAGTAATGTTGGACATTTTTTGATTCAATGGAGTGGCCACCAAGACGATGTCATAGAAGTCTGAGTGGGTCTCGGATCCACTTTGGTACACTACTTCATACATCTTTGTGGGATTTCCTAGAAAGAAAAAGGCAGCACACATTTCTTAGTGTTTCTAACATACTGTATTTTATACCATCTAAAAATAATTCTAAAACTTAAATAGTTTCTCTTTAATTCTAAGAAATTAAAGAGTTTTAGCCCTTAAGCTAACTAAAGGTTCCTTGCAATTTTATTACATTGAGGACAATTTCCTATTCAGAATGTCAATAAATACAAAATATGGCATTGTTACTCTTGATGAGATTGCTTTTTAAATCCAAAGAGTCATGCCATTGTATTTGAGAACATTTGGGAATATTTCTACATGGTATAACATAAACAATTTAAAATTCTATCGTTTTGAAACAATGAGAGATGCAAAAGGAGTTTTTCTCACTGAACAACCATTTTCTGCAGGGATAATTAGAAATAAAAATTCAAACTCACCTGTCTGCTTGGTCCTTGTTTTCTCTATATACATTACTGAGCCAGATATAAGATTGCTGTTGGAAGCCTGGAGGAGCCGTGAGCAAACAAGTTTATTACCACCTTCTACTGCCCAAAGGCCAGAATCAGCAGCAGTCAGTGACACTGCCCCTGTTGTCAAAAGGGGAAAAAAGAAATATGTTTTCATTCTGACTTTGAAAGAAGCCCAATAACCACTCTCCCTTTCCAATTAAATGTTCTGTTCAGAATGTCTTCTGACACTGCCAAATGGCCCTTTGGGGCAAAATCTTACCCAGTTGAGAACCAATTAACTATTGGAAGCTAAGAACCTTCTCCTAAAAATACACACCTATAAATACATAATTTTGCTAACAATGTCTGAATTTGGGGGTTTTTTTGTTGTTGTTGTTTTGGTACTGGGAATTGAATCCAGTAGGCCTTAATCACTGAGCCACATCCCCAGTCTTTTTAATTTTATTTTGAGACAGGGTCTCGCTGAGTTGCTCAAGACCTCGCTAAGTTGCTGAGGATGGCTTTCAACTCGCAATTCTCTCAGCCTTTGGAGCCATTGGAATTATAGGGGTGCACCACCATGCCCAGCAATGTCTGCAATTTTGAGAAAGACAGCCTTCTCCAAACCATGGCCCAAAGTGAGGAACCATCCTAACACCATCAAGTTCTTTTATGAACAATCATGCAACACTTTTTCAAGGCCTGGCTTACCCACAAAGGCATTGATGTCTGTGCTTTGACCGTAATTGACCCTCATGACGGGAGCAATCATTTCATTGAGGAATTTCTCAGAGAAGCCTGCTTTCTGCAAGGTTTCATGAAGCGTTCGGTTAAGCAACCCAAGGAAGTCATCTCCTCCTACAGCATGGAGTAATTTTTCTACACTACTGAAGGCATAGTCATGAGACTGGTAGCGGTAGATCCTTGCAAAAAGAAGAAAAATGCCATTAAGCACCAAAAAAGATGGGGAAAAGGGATATATAAAGATAGAAAAGAACATCATAAAAGTCAAATTGACTTCCATGTTTCCTTCTGGTGAGTTTCTACCTATCCTCTGAGAGACAGCTTAGCCATCACCTTCCCCAGCTCTCCCAGAAGCTCTTGGCCCTCCCCCATCCTCCACCTCTTCTGAAGTCCATGGTCCTTTGAACACACTCTTCTTTTTCTGCACTAGGATCACCTTATAAAGAAATGGGGCTGGGCATGCTAACACACACCTATAATCCAAGTGGCCTGGGAGGCTGAGGCAGGAGGATTGCAGGTTCAAAGTCAGCCTCAGCAACTTAGCGAGCCTATAAGCAACCTAGTGAGACCCTGTCTCAAAATATAAAAAGGAATGGGGATATGTCTCAGTGGTAAAGCACCCTTGGGTTCAATCTACCCAAAAATTCTTGCTTATTAAACAAAAGTCCAGATCATTTAGCCTGATATCAAAAAAAGGAATTGCATGCAGGTGTGGTGGCACACACCTGTAATCCCAGCTATACAGAACACTGAGGCTGGAGGATCACACGTTCAGGCTGGCCTGGGCAACTCAGTGAAGCTCTGTTTCAAAAATATAAAGGGCTAGGGATGAAGTTCAGTGGTATATCACCACTGGTTCCAATCCCTAGTACATTAAATTAATTAATTAATTAATTAATGAAAAAGTAGAAGCAAAAGGCTTTGTCTAAAGGTGACATGCAAATAGAAGGCTTAAAAGCACAACTTGACATTTCTACCCTCAATCACTCACACATCCTCCACCTGTGCACTTCTGAACCATTCACTGATCTTAACTATCTCTGCATAGTCCCCTCAGGACTGTATAGGCTCTTCCCTCTCTCTGGACTTCCCATTCCAAACACAGAACAGCTACATCTTTTCCAGAGAGCTTGAGTCCTGCCTTCTCTGCAAAGTCTTGCCCAACTTCCCAGTCCACAGGAATGTCACTATCTCCAAAGTCCATAAAATTTAACATCAATGCCACTCACTCTCAGAAAATATCACATGACATTTCTTTGCACTCCATGGATTTTTAAAGAACATTTACACAAATTAACACTTGTAGTAATTCAATGAATGGTTGTTCAGGTTTTGCAAGGGGTATAAAGACAAGAAAGACATGGCTCCTTTCCCTCAAGAAGCTACGGTTATAGACAGGGTACACACACAGATAAATATATGAAATAACGGAAGAAATAAGAGCCAAGGAAAGATACTTCTCAGTGATCATAAGAGGAAAGCTTTTATATAGTTTCTTCTCAAATAATAATAATAATAATAATAATAATAATGTTTTTAGAGAGTAAAGGGACAATATTATAAGCTTTTTTTTTCTTTCAATACTGGAGATTGAACCCAGGGGTACTCTACCAATAAGCCACATCCCCAAAGACTTACCAATATTTTTTTTTTTTAGAGAGAATTTTTAATATTTATTTTTTTTAGTTCTCGGCGGACACAACATCTTTGTTGGTATGTGGTGCTGAGGATCGAACCCGGGCCGCACGCATGCCAGGCGAGCGAGCTACCACTTGAGCCACATCCCCAGCCCCTTACCAATATTTTTTGACATCAATCTCACTAAGTAAAGGAGGCTGGCCTCAAACTTTCTGACCCTCCACTCAGCCTTCCGAGTAGCTAGGATTAGAGATGTGCACCACTGTGCCTGGCTATATGCATTTCAGTTTTACCTACTAAGAATGTAGTGTACAGGGGCTGGGGATGTATCTCAGTGGTAGAGTGCTTGCCTTGCATGCATGAGGCCCTAGGTTCGATCCTCAGCACCACATAAAAATAAATAAAAATAAAGGTATTGTGTCTATCTACAACTTAAAAAAAATTAAAAAAAAAAAAAGAATGTAGTGTACAAAATGTAAAAATAAGGTTTCATTAGAAAAAATGATTGGATTCAGTGCCACAACAGAAATACTAAAACAACATCATCCAACCATATCATTTGAGTTTTAGTTTTAGGAGCTAGGAAAAACTAATATGAAAACACTGAATTCTTGGTAGAGCACATGACTAGCAAATGAAAGGCCCTTGGTTTAAATCAAAAGAAAGAAGGAAAGAAGGAAGGAAGGCAACAAACACTGAGTTCTTCAGAAAAATAACCAACTGAATAGAACGTAAGATGAAGAGTAATCTTTGGCTAATAGCATGACAAAATAATAACCAATTAAATAACCTATAAGTGGTGCTATCAGTCAAATAATCTGCCAATGAACTTCACCCCCATTCAGTCAAGCGTCCTGAGATAAGTCCATCTGGAGGGTGAGACAAGACCTCAAATATGAACACTGAGAATTGTACCTATTATACAACAGTAGGTGCAACTAAAAAATCAGACATGTAAACAGCTGGTAGTTTCTGCTGGTAAGACTGCTTATAGTCTTTTTTTTTCCAAGTGACATTTTTATAACCTTAATATTTACTTACTTATTCAGTCAACAAATATTTATGAACTTTGAGCCAGGCACTGTTCTAGGTGATGAAAATACAAAGGTCAACATAACATAGATAAAAAGAATCACTAACTTCAGGCAGTTTGTGTTATACTCGAGGAAACAGGTAATAAAATTCAAGAAACTAAAGTAAGTTATTTAATAGGTACAAGGATAACTATTAAAGAGAAAAACAAATCAAAAAGAAAAGGAATGCATGGGGCAAGCAAAGTTGTAATTGTAAATAAGATGGCTCAAGAAATAAGTTCAGTGGTCAGGGAAGTCTCACTGACAAGGCAACACCTGAACAAATATGAGGGAGGGCAGATGCAAGCCATGCAAACACCTGGGGGGTAAATTTTCAGGTAGAAGTAAAAGTAATACAAAGGCCACATAACAGAACCTGGTTTCTTGAATAAACAGTGAGGCCAGTGCAGCTGAAGCACAGTGACCCAGTAGGACAGGAAACATACATTCAGAAAAGGGGCAGAGGACTTGAAACACTTCCAGAATGGTTAATGAGGACCTCTGAGAATCAGCTCCTCCATGAGAGCAAGGAGTGAGGACAGTGGCAAAAACTGTCAGCACTGGGCTGGGGATGTAGCTCAGTGGCAGAGCACTTGCCTAGCATGCATGAGGCCCTAAATTACAAAAATAAAATGTCAACATTTTGAAAGTCAACATTTCTTTTTCAGAACTCAGGAAATAAATCAAACCCTTAACAAACTATAAGGAGTATTTATTCAAGGAAAACGGCTAAATCTCAATAAAAACGATGAGCTCTGTAGAATTACAATTTGCCTATTCCCATTCCCCTCTTGTCAGCTCTGCAGTAGCCTTAAAAAGCAGCCAACTTGCAACAACAACTATGAAACCACCAAGCTAGAAGCCACTGGAAAAGGCAGAATGGATTTGGAGCTCCTAAAAAAGCATAATCCCCAGAGAAATGTTACTCTTTGACCTATCTGGGAACTCAGGAAAAGCACTATCTTCAGGGCTTGTCTTTATTTGATCTGATTCAGACCTCACTCTGTACAAACCAGCTCCCACCCCAAACCATTTGTCCAAAAAAAATCATTGGCAACTATTTAACATCACTGCCGCCTTAGGGTTGTGATACCAATTGGGGCTAATAAGAAGCTGACTAAAAAACTATAAAAAGATACTAGGGAATGAAAATGTTTCCAGGAATCTAGAAAGTCATGTGATTGTGCAAGGCTGTCTGTCCTGGGCCAAGGAAAGTCCTGAGACAGCTTCCATCTATCCGTCAACTTTTAAAGACTTTGAGGCTTAGAGTAAGCAGGAAATTAAGGCTAAAGTAGAGTTTTAAACTATATGCTGGAGCACTGAAAATATACACCAACATACACACTTAAGTGGCCTTATATGACAAAGAATACAGAACTGATCCCAGAAAGTCAGTAAACAAACCAATAGTAGCAACAATAAGCAGCCTGGGGGTCCAGGAGAATCCAGTTTCCAGAGCTGCCCACCATGCCCAGTCCAAAGTCTTTAAATCAACTATTATAAATATGTTCAAGTAACTAAAGAAAATCATGTCTAAAGAACAAAATCAAGTATGAGAATAATGTCTCATTCACCAAATACAGAATCTCAACAAAGAGGAAAAAGTGAGTAAAAAAAAAAAAAAGAATCAAGCCAAGCACAGTGGCACACATCTGTAATCCCAGCGGCTTGGGAGGCTGAGGCAGGAGGATCACAAATTCAAAGCCAGCCTCAGCAACTTAGTGAGGCACTTAGCTAGACCCTGTCTCCCATAAAATACAAAAAAAAAAGGGGGGGGCTGGGGATATGGCTCAGTTATTAAGCACCCTGGATTCAATCCCCAGTACCAAAAAAAAAAAAAAAAAATTCTGGAGTTGAAAAGTATAGTACCTGAAATGAAAAACTCACCATAGGGACTAAACAATAGATTTGAAATGGTAGAAGGACCAGCAAACTTGAAGACAGATCAACTGAAAGTATAGTTTAAGGAAACGAAAGAAAAAAAAAAGTTTAAAAAAATAAGCAGCCACAAGACCTATGGGACAACCTGAAGTTTACCAACATGCAAACACTGAGAATCCTAGAAGGAGAAAAGGAAAAGAAAGGGACATAAAATTATTCAAAAAAATAAAGGCCCAGCCAGGCACAGTAGCGCACACCTCTAATCCCAGTACCTCAGGAGGCCGAAGCGGGAGGATCACAAGTTTAAGTCCAGCCTCAGCAACTTAGGCCTTTCTCAAAATAATAAATAAAAAGGGTTGGGGGGGGATAGTTCAATGGTAAAGCATCATTAGCTCAGTCCCTGTACCAAAATTAATTCCCAAAACTTCCCAAATTTGATGAAAAACATTAATCTGCACATCCAAGAAGTTCAACAAACTCTACCCATAAAAAGGTCTTCAGTTAATCTTAACAACTGACTTCTCACTAGAAACCATAGAAGCCACAGATAGTGGGATGATAGGCTGATATCCTTCAAAATGACACAA